TCAATCCAAGTTAAAAGACTTCTGCTTGAGACCTTGGATAGCCATTGTCGGTCAGAGTAGGGGAGCAGGGGAGCACCGAACTGTTTTATGAATTTTGTTAATTATTTAACTGTTTTTGTATTTCTGTGTATTTTATACTGGTTTTATTGTTATTATTTGGTGTATGCCCCTGTTAGCCGCCCTGAGCCTCCGGGGAGGGTGGGATATAAGTTTAAATAAATAAATAAATAAATAAATAAAATAGAGTAGACAATATTAACGTTGATAGATCAGTGGCCTCATATCTAGTTTAAGGCAGCTTAATATGTGTTAATATGTTCTTCTTGAATACGATGGGGTATCCACCATCCCTCTGATAGAGGGAAAGGGAGCAAGTTTCACTGTGTTATCCCATGTCTAAACATCTTATCCTACATAGGATGGAACTGTAAAGGAACACAGATAGTTACAAGAATGAACCAGGAAGAAAGAAGAGAAGAGGAACAGAAAGAGTGGTGCTGAAGAAGCAGCCTTGGAGGTTAGAAATTTTAATCAGGAATTAATTAGGCATTAAACCCTAGTACTTCAGGTTAATGGTGTTACTGCTTTGTATAATGCAACTTGCGTGGAGATCAAGAATGCTAAGAGTCTCCAGGCATTAGATTCATAGTATTCTATGTAGTTTGTGAAACTAGTTATAGTCTAACCTGACCATGGTTGCAACATACATTTTTAGAAACTAATTTGGGGGAAAAAGGTTGATATCAGTATAACTTTTAAATTAGACCATGATTTTACCACAAGACTTCAAAAAAATTGTAATGATTAAGCAACTTGGAGATTTTTTGGTCATTGTTTTTCATTAGGCAATTTAGTGATAACAGTAGGATATTTTTCTTTGTATTAGCACAAAGAAATGGTTCATTCTTCTAAGGTCTAATGGTTTGAGCTTCGGGTCTCTCACACTTCCATGGACCTGAGCACAAATATTTAGTGCCTAGTAAATTAAAATCAGTTCCTGAGATTTAGCAGCTGGAATAGCAGGAGATGTACTAGGTCTCATGACTGTAAAATAAAGATTAGGAACATCCATCTTAAGTCAAAGCCATGTGATTTTTACTGGATCCCATTTATTTAGATGACATATGATGATCATTGTGGTTTTAACCTGCCTTCCTTAGCCCTGTTCATGTTTTCTATTTATTAACGTTATTCATAGTTGGCCTTTCTCACTGAGCCTCAAAGTAGATTGCAAAGCAAGTCAATGCAATCAACAGGATGGGACATCCAATAAGCAATATAATAGGATCAGGATTGCAGAAACCTGAAGCCAAGCAGAAATCTGAAACAAAGCTGAAAAAGAAATTAGTATTAAAATGAAACATTCAACAGTGCATAAATTATACAGTAGGTAACTCATACAGCAATAGAGAACTTAGTATAGTCCACATTTGCTTACCTTTTATTAAAGCATCTTCCTGAAACATTCAGTTATGATATAGCCCTCTTACCTTTGTAAAAATGTCCTCCTGAATAATTCAGTTTTGCATAGCTTACAGAATGCCTGGAGCCTTCCTGACTTCATCAGGCAAGCCATTCTATAAGGTGGGACCATAACAGGGAACACACAACACATATACATTCTGCATGTAAATGCATACACCTGTCTGTAACAAACAGCCAGCATACATTCACTTCACAAATGAAACCAGGGACCAGTAAACATTGATAAAGGTGGAGTTTAAATCACGTGATCAGTGGTACATGGGTGGAATCAAACATGAGAATTACTCAACACAGATTGTAAATACGTTCACTGTAATTTGTGAATAGGGCTAGTGATGCATCCTTTACAAGACCAAGGAACAATAAAGATGAAGGTAATGGTCCCAAGCAGCAGACAGTTTATGGCTCAGACCCCACCATCCCAAGCAGTTACACCCTTCTAAGTACATTGACTTCAGTTGACTTAGAAGGGCATGACTCTGTTTAGGATTGCACTGTAGCAGTTTCAGAGGGTAACCTGAAAAGCGCTTTTATTAACTTTGTGACAACTAAGAGGAGACAAGGAGGTTTGGGATGTGAAATGCTAAAAGAATATGCTCCTTTACAAGAGTCATTTACAAAAGCAGGGGAGGATAGGAGGTCTAAATGCAATTAGTTTTCTCCTAGTCACTTATTCTGCATTACCTCTTACACCATTGTTCCATAGCAAACCAGAGAACTGCAAGGCAATTATTAGCTTTCCTGTGCTATTTTGGGATGAAATTGGTATTTTGTGTGTGTGTGTGTGGGGGGCTCTTCTAATTTGCCTTTTAAAAATGGCAGAGCATGAGCTGCTTCTCCCATGTTGTAGCTTGCATTGTAAGGGGGGGGGGAGGCAGGCAGGCAGGCAGGCAGGCGGCATTTTGTTCCTAAACTTCTCCAGATCAATGAGGACCTTTGAAATTCCCTGGGCTTTCAAGATCTAGATGCCTCAGTCTACCTAGCCTTTCAAACTAGAATGCGCATTTGCAGTCAATGTATTTTACTACTGGGGTTTCTTGATGGCAATTTCAAAAGTAGGCCCTCTCTTCTCTTGCAAATTGGTTTTCAGTCAAGGGGCAGGCCTGTAGCACCATGGGGGCCATTTGCCTCCCTGGAAACCCACACTATCAAAGGAAGAAGATGGGTCTCAAGTTTCTGCTTTCAGAACCATCTGATGCATATTCAGAATCAGTGAATATGGAATAGTTTGCATTTAATGCATTTTAACTCCTCCTTTTACAGAGCATCAGAATGTTTGGATATTGACCCGCCCTATTTTTCACTGTTTATTTGTGGGGAGTAGAGACTTTGTCCATATTAGGAATGCTCAGTACAGAAAGTAAGTTAGCAGTTACTCCAAAGGGACCTAAAGCGGTCTAAGGAAGACTTAGTTCAACAAGTTCCTGAGAGAGCAGAGTTCACCTGTTTTGGTGGCACCAGCTATGCTGCTCTCTCAGCAGTTTTCCACATGAAAAACATAACCAAAACTGACTTTTTCACAGAACTGTACTGTGAGAGTACAACAGAATGCAGATCATGAAGCCTTTATGAATTAAAAACGCTAGAATAATTCCAAATTATTTCATATATTTTGTTCACATAGCCAGTCTGGTTTCCCCTCGGATTTTTCTTTATATTTCTTTAAATATTTATTCCTTAGAATGTTTAAAACTATTAAAATGCCTGTGTTGAAAAATTCTAGAAATACATTATTTAGGATATCACCCATGGCAGTCTTCACGTCTAGACTTTGTTGTTAGCTCAGTATATGAGTTTCTCCAAGCAGTTTGTTTACAGTTGCTCCCAAGCATGGCTACTGTTCCAGCTGAGGGCACAGAAGTTTTGGCTCCAAAAGCAGGGGCTGATAACAGTGAAATCATTAAAATGTGCTTCTGTTTCCCATATCACATAGGGAATCGATGGGAGGGCTTTTGAGAGGGTTTTTCTTGACCAACAGGTCTGGTGACTTACATGTTTATGATCCAAGGAACTTAATCCTAAGCATCTTTACTCAGAAGTAAAGATTAAGTACATTCAGGATTGTGTACATTTTCCTGCAATGTAAGTACTTATCTACATTTGGAGCCAATTTGAGTAGATTTTTTCCTCTAAAGACCTTTTTTGGAAGTGATTCTGTGAGAGGGCTTACACATAGAAATGCTAATTGGGAATTATAGGTTCTCCGGAATTTGTTGACACGCACTGTTCCTGTCAGGGTTTATTCATAGATTCAGCTGTGCAAAAAGTTGCATGAGGTTGGTTCCCCTTGCATATTCATCATTTTTTCAGAGCAGTATCAGGTGGTCATCTGCCCAAAGAGTAGCCATCATGGACCATCTGCTACAGATAGGACCTCTATATTAACTCGCCTCTCAACTGCTATGTCTTTCCATTGAAGCAGCTAAGGAGGCCCACTCAAAATTTGAGTCCAGTGGCACCTTTAAGACTAACGAAGTTTAATTCTGGGCATAAGCTTTTGTGTGCATGCACTACACCTGAATCATATTTCAACATGTTATTCAACTTTAGTGGTTGTATGATGTTTCCAAATGGGGATCCCTTTAAGCCAGGCTCAGCCATGGACCTTATGGAAAATGGTGCATTCGGACTTGTTAAAACTGCCTGGAGACAAAAAAAAGTCCTGACCTTTTAATAGAGATTTTAAGGAGATATTATTTACCTCCATGCTATGAAAACCTTCAGCTGTCCATTTCCAAATATTAAGCCCTTATTAAAAGAATAGGACATTTTTCTCCAGGTCTGTTAGCAACCCAAGAGCACATACAGATACTGCTGTTCTCCCCCCCCCCCCCACTTACATTCACAAGGGAGTAAGCACAAGACATCCTGGACTGGAATGTGTATTTGGAGAGAGTAACAAGGACCTGGCATCTTTTCTTTCTGAGAATACAGAGTTGGTGCCTACACTTTAAAAAGAAATTACAGTGCTCTCACTTTGCAAGGGTCATTAATAAAGTATCTATAACTGTCTGAGAGATTTTTGATCTCCCCCAAGGGAACAAATAACCCACCCACCCCAATTCTTACCCCAGTGCCTCATTTATTATAGGAAACACGTTTCACTGCCAGTTCATACCCTAAAGCTGGAGCTGAGCGAAAAAGGCTGCAATCGCCATCGATTACAAGGATGTGCTCTTCTCCACGTGTTCAGGCAGGCTGGTAGAATTTTTTTTTAAGGAAAGTGCCAATAGTATGTACATAGCCCCCTCCCTTCCATCCTAACCCTCAGCTTGTCATGCCTGGATCCTCCCCCTCCCCCCCATCAAAGCAGAGAATCCCCTTCCCTCTAGAAGAGCATCTCTGAAGTACAAGCTGATTGCATCCAAGGGGGGGCCCTCCTGCCTCCTATGGACAGCCTCCCCCTGGGATCAAGGCAGGCATCCTCTCCGGAGCAAAGCTGGCTCTTCACCTGGCGGTGCATTTGCTGCAAGCCCTGGACAACCGCAGATCTCTCCGGAGCTCGAAGGCAGGGAATGCTGGAATGTCAGGACAGTGGGGCCAAAGGGGCCCCCATCCACACTAAAATCTCCTTCTCTATCTTGGACATCCTGGATCCTCAGAAATTTACCAGGAAAAACAATCTGGCAGCAGGGAGAAGGGAGTGCATCCCCCACGCAGGACAGCAGGAGAAAAGTTTGGGAAGAGTTGCAGCGGAAAGAAATTCAAGCCACCAGAGGAATAAGCTACAAGCATATCATGGTAGGCAATGCATTCAGATTTTATTTGATTTGCACCAGGGTGTTGTTGGTTGTTAGGAAATTCCTGAGTTGATTCATTCATGGCAAACAATAAGGGATAAATGTTGAGAACGATTGTCCTCCTAGATTAAAATAAATTTTAAAAAACCAATCATTTAGTTAGGTTTCATCACCCCAGCCAAGCAGTTTGTACCTACTTAAATTTAGGGTAGTATATGAAACAGCTCCAGGGCTACTGTGTCTAATACAGCTGCTGCAGCAACTTTGTTTAGCGACCAGGGTATGCTAGACCCCACATAGCAATGCAGAGTTTGAAGTCAGAAATTGTACTTTAGAGTTTGGGGATGTGGAACGCAGCTGAATCTGGCTCGAATTCAGTTCGTGCAGCAGAATGTAAGAAAGCTACTTTTAAAAAGAGCCAAAACGCTAGGACCAAAATCATAGCAGGTGAACAATGACCTGGGAGCACTGCCCCGCCGCATCGGAAGCCTGCAGTCTCCCCCGCCCTTCAGTTCTCGCAGGCAGACAGTCAGCAGGTTAAGCTTTTTTTGCGGCGCGAAGAAACGACCAACTTCACCCACTGAATTTTCACCTTTCAAGCAATCAGTGAAAAGCAGGGGGGGACGGGACGGAAAAAGCGTCCTTTCCCCATCAACGGCTCCACTTGCCTACATGTCCCAGATGGGAGCGTTGGCGTTCAAAAGGGGTTTAGGGGCAGAGCCTTGAGTTTAAGGGGATTCCGCAATGGAGGGAGCACATTCTGAATTAGAAGGGCAGGTACGTTCCCTGTACACTCCCCCTCGTTTTCGGACACGGGTTGTGGGAACTGTGGCAACCTTCGGCTCAGCAGCTCCCCCCCCCCCCCCCCCGGACTCGCTGCCCACGTTACGGGAGGTCAGCCGCTGGCCAGCTCTGCGGAGTTCCCCTTTAAGAGGTCGCGCAGGAAAGGGAAGCGAGGGGGGTCAGCGAGCTCCGAGACGGCCTCTGGCGGAGGAGCGGTCCCGGCTGAGCTTGCAGCGCCCCCAAGTCTGGTGGGAAAGCGCAAGTCCGCCGCCCGCAATTGTTTTCGGCTCAGCCTTGTCTGACGGGCCTGATTGGCACCGGGACGCGGGAGGCAAAGGACAAGCGAGATAATTGTTCCTGCCGCCTCCCCACAAGAGGATGCCTTCGCTCCCCCTTGATCGATAACCTATTACCGACTCCTGCGTATCTCCTTCCCACAGCTTGCAGGTACCAACTTCAAACCTCTTCCCCCCTGTCTGATCCTAATATTGTTCGATTAAAACTTACCTTTAATAGATGACATCTATCGATCCGCCCCTTCACAAATCTGAAACTCTATTAGTACGGCAGGGAAAAGAAGATGGAAAAGAACGGGGGGGGGGGGGGGAATTACTGCTGTTAAAAAAAAACCCTTTAGTAACTTATTTTTTTAATGCTCTCATAGAAATCCATTTCTGCTACCACCTCCCCCACCACCACCAAAAAAAACACGTTTCGTATTCTCTTGGAAGGGGCGACCTGGAAATGTCATAAGACTTGCTATGGGTTGACAAGCTTTGTAACGAGGAAAACACGCGCTCGTTCATTCATGCCTCACGCATTCTGTGCGTGATTTCATTGGCTGAAACGCACTTGACTACTCTGTAGCTAATCCTCGTATTTTTGAATAGCAAGGGATTTTAAACAAGGAAGAATGTGTGACATATGAAGCCAGTCTAAAGAGGTCTACTCGAAAGTAAATGATATGTTATTCAATTGACTTGCTCCCAGGAAAGCACCATTAGGATGTCAGCCTTCATTATTTTTATTATACTATCAGAAACTCGGGCATCTCCATTGAAAGATGGTTAGTGCCCAACCTTAGCCGGAGGCTTGGTAAGCAGTCCCGGGGGAAAGGCACTCTGTGTATGCTCAAAGTCACTTATTAAACTTTTTTGTTGTGGTGGTGAATTCTTTTGTTGGTGCAGAATTGTTTTAATCACTCCAAATGTTCCAGCACGGAACTACAGAGATGCCTGAAAACGGGTTCTTAGCATAAACTCCTCTGAACCCACAACCTGAACCACTGGAAAGGGGAAGCGGCGTGCATAGCGAGGTTGAACCTAGCGCGAAATGCCGGGGGACAGCAGCGGCTAACGAAGCACACGTGTCTGTCTGTGCCCCAACTGATGCAGATCCATGTGGAGAGGATCCGCTTGCGGGGAGGAAAACAGTAATTACGGGGGTCAGTCTGGATCAGACGGCTACGCGTGTCTGGGGAAGGCTGCTGGTCTCGTCCTGTTACCCTGATCCGCGCCACTCTTTGTGTGTCTTGCAGATGCCGACAGCCAAGCAGAGCGGCCGGCAGCCGCCTCGGAGGAGTTGGAGCAAAAGGAGGAGCCGCCGGGCCGAGCCGGGAGCCGCTTAGCCACCGCGGCTGCCTCAGCTGCGCTTCCCTCGCCCGACTTCCCGGCCTCCTCGCCGTCGGATCTGGACGAGCCCGGCTCTCCGCCGGCATCCAAGCGGCGACGGGCCGAGTCGAGCTGCGCCAAGCCTCGGCGGGCCAGGACGGCCTTTACCTACGAGCAGCTGGTGGCCCTGGAGAACAAGTTCCGCGCCACGCGGTACTTGTCGGTGTGCGAGCGCCTCAACCTGGCCCTCTCGCTCAGCCTGACCGAGACGCAGGTCAAAATCTGGTTCCAGAACCGAAGGACCAAGTGGAAGAAACAAAACCCCGGGGTCGAAAGCACGGCGCAGCCGGGGGGCAACGCTCTGCCCCCTGGAGGTGGCGGCGCAGGAGGCAGGCCCAGCCCGCCGGGCCCCAGCGCCTTGGCCTATCAGACTTTCCCTTCCTACGCCTCTGCCAACGTCTTGTTCCCGGCCGGGGCTCCTCTCCCGCTCCCCGCAGCAGTTGGAGGGGGCCCCTTCCCTCCTTTCCTCAGCCCGACTTACTTGGCTCCATTTTATACCCCTCACCTATAGAGGGTTACCAGCCTTGCAGAGCCTGCAGCTATTCCCTCTGCAGGGGTGGAGACCAACAAACTCTGTTGTGTTTAAGCAAAGAAAGGAAGAAAAGAGTCGTGCATTTTACCGTCTCTGCTCATGCACTGTTTTACTAGGTCTTGCTTAGGAGCATGCTAACTGTTCTGCCACCGAGGGATCACCACTACCCAGGTTCTTTTTCAAAAAACAAACGCATCCGTCGGTGTATGGAAAATGTGGGCCAAAAGGATCAACCTCCAATTTCTTTTATTTTTCCCGCCATGAGAAGATGCAAAAAGCAACAGCTCCCTGAAGTTTGGGAAACCTGTTGGCAGCAGAGTGACTTTCAATACCAAGAAGGTGTATTTTTTAAAAAAACAGATATACACTATTTGATATTTATATAGCCGATGGCTGGCATACAGAGAATGGAAGAAGACACAAATCTTGTGGATTTATCAATGAGCCAAAGGGCAGCTGAAGCTGGTACTACTCTTCCCCCTCATCCGTTCCCACCCCTCCTAGATTCGCTGTTGTCCTCACAAGCAGGCCCACTGGCTGTTGTGTGGGGACCTCTGCTGCATGACCCTGTCTGACCATTGAATTCATTTCGGGACAGAAATGCAGGATGGGTGTGATTGTGGCATATGCAAAATGTAGATTGGAAATGAATACAGTATTTTAATAAAATGTGCATTGTACTATACCATGTTTGTATCTTCAAGCAACTGCTCTCAAGTGGTGGGTCAAGAACCACCAGAGGGCAGCACGGTCAACAAGGAAGGCTGGGTTAAATAGTAGGTTTACTTGTGCAGCTGCGTACTGCAGCCCCATCACAGCACAACAGGAAAACAGCATATGTCTCTCCGCATACAAGACCATGTTTCTGCACAAGGTGTACAAATATATCAGTCCGTACAAGTAATACATAGCCTGTTGTTACTGATGTTATATTACATCCCAGTTGAATAGAGTGTCTGCCGCTGCAGAAACTGTGTGTTGCAGGTCTTTTATGTAACTCCTCCTTAACTCCTGCTGTTACTGTGTCCCAGAGCCTAGTTTCCAGCATGCTGGTGATCATCCCTTAAGGCCAAGGTTAAAAGATAAGCGTATATGACATAGTCTGAATCCCAGGATGTCTTTGACCCTTAGTATTCATTCAACTGGACACACAGCCAAGCCATGCCCAGGATACGTTGAAGGGTGATCTGCTGTGGGATATTCAGAGCGTAGACCCTACAGGATGTCATCATGAGAGCTGCTTTATTTTGGAACCCTTTGACCCGAAAGAAAGACAGTTCTTTTAATTGGGTGTTTTGGGAGTCACTGACTCCAAACCTTTTCCTATGGAGACCTATCTGCAGAATTTTAACTTTGTTTAGACTCCAACTGTTGCTGACCTGAAAATTATACCTCCTTAGTTCTCTGCTACACTGTTCAAATGTGTTTTAAACCATGCATTCATATATTCTTCCTGTTCATTCTTTTGCTTAGGTGTAGCAGCAGCTTTAATAGCATAGATTGGACATTGTTTTTTCTCCATTGTTCCAGTTTTTGCACTGGAGTCTTGTGGCACCTTAAATACTAATGGATCTATTTTGGCACAAGTATTTGAGGAATACAGCCCATTTCATTAGTCACACTGAAAGTTATTCTGAGGTGGTGGATAAGTATACACATGTGTAGAGGGATAAATAGTTGGGCCAAAAGGTGTGAGATGCAAAGTTCAAATGTATACATGTAAGAACAGTAAACATTCGCATCACCAACCTGTTCACTAGGGATCTTATTTAGGGATCTTATCTTGAATACATTGGAGCTTTACATAGAAATGTAATGGTTTATGGTTCCACTATTTATGATTTGATCTCTGTACCCATTTCTGTGTATATTAGGGCTGTCTTCAGGCCTGGAGAAAAATGTCCTGTCTCTTTAGTAGACATTTAAGCTTTGATGGCATGAAAATTAATAACATCACCTGGTAAATAACATTCCTTTAATCCTCTATTAAGGGGACAAGATATTTTTCTCCAAGCAGTTGCCAGCTCTATCGTAACCGATGATAACAGTTCATACATTTGAGAAAATGGAATCTAATTCAGAAAAATGTATACCACAATGATTCTTATTAATCTTTAAGATGCTCTAAGACTTTATTTTGTTCCATCAGATAAAGAATTCTACACACACACTGGTCAGGTTCTGCAGCAAGTAAATCTCCACACACGTTTCCAAGGAAGCATTCTACTTTATTAGATTACAAAACTGGTACCATATCCACAGGATTATTGTTAGGAATGACCATGGGGCAGAAACATCCTTACATATAGTAGGATGAGGCAAATGGCTAAGCAAATGAAATTCAAGTGCGCACGCGGGAATTCTCCCAGCGGGAGGATACATGATAATTGGGAGAGTCGCAGTGCCTCACGAGAGCCGAAAGATTCACACCAGGGGTGGAACGCAAGCCCTCCCTCCTTCACAAGGCCAGACAGATAACGCCGTCTGGCAGTACTGGCTCCCATGGTCTCCCAAGCATTGTTTACAGCAAGCGGCAGAGCAGCAAACAAGCCCGGATTAGAGACGGGAACAAGCAAAACATGGCAGCTAGCTGACAACACCCGGCTGAAAAACTGGATTTTTCATCCTTGCTCCCTGACCAGTTTCTTTAAATAACCCTTTTGCCCCTCTAGTGGACAGTCCCATGGCTGCGCATAATGCATTCTTCAAGTCTTCCTTCAGTTCTTATCAGGAGTGTGTGATGTATGTTAGGTAAGAGTTTATGTTTTTCCCAATATTTTATATGAAGCAAGCCCCATTAAACAGTATAAGGCTCTTTTGAGCAGACTTGGTTAGGATTACTCCCTTGGTGACTAAGCTCACATGATCCAGCAATATGCATGCAATGGGCTCCTTTCCCTCATGTCAGGATGCTTCAGCTTGTCAAAGGAAAGTGAAGAAATCCAAAGGGAATTCTAATTGCCAAAGTAAAACTACGTCCAGCTCGGTAGGAACCCTTGCAAGTTTCTCCAATACTGCAACACAACACATTATGAAAGGAAGATTAGAAGGCTCTTTGAAGACAGGTGGTGAGGGTGGAAAAGGGGGAATTCTGGAGAATATCTGGTCTTCTCCCTTAAGGTTTCCACAACTTTTTTAAAAATATATTTTTGTGTGTGCGTGTATGTGTGAGCCTGGAAGTCATGGTGACGTCTGGTGACCCCTACTGGGGCTAGGATGTTTTCAGAGTGCTGGCTTGATTGCCTTCCTCAGCGTCCCGGCCCTAGTATTCTTTGGCAGTTTACCTTACAAGTACTTGCCAGGATTGGTACTGCCTAGCTTTCAAGATCTGATAAGATTGGGCTTGCCTGGGCTATCCAGGTTAGGACAGGTTTCCACTCTTAAGAATGTACTTCTTTAGACTGAATTATTTGGTCCATATTATATACACATATGCTACAGCTGCATATTTGCTGCTATCATTATTATTATTTACTTCATGTATAGCCTGCCTTTCTTACTGGACTGGAAGTGGAATACGATATGTACAGGCCTCGGTTCCTGCTGGAGCGCATCGAAGCACCGCTCTGCCAGTCAGGAGCCCAGGGGGTGGACACATAAGCCCCCTGCTCCCACCGGCCATCAGTTGGGACATGGTGGGGGGCCCAAAACGTTTCCCCGCGTCCCTGAGCCCTGGTGGCCTTGGACTTGTAGGGGCAAATTCCACCTCTCGCGTGTGATCACACGCAAGAGATCATTCTGGCTCCCCCAGCTCTCGGGAGGGGCACTTAAAAAAGTTATGGCCGCCGCCGCATTTTTCGGTGGCAGCTGCGACGCCGGTGCAGGGGGAGGGGCAGGGTGAAACATACCCTTGCCTCCCTGAGCCCCAGGGTGGTGGCCTTGGACTCGTAGGGGCAAATTCCAGCTCTCGCGTGTCATCACATGCAAGAGGTCATTCTGGCTCCCCCAGCTCTCGGGAGGGGCTCTTTAAAAAGTTATGGCTGTCGCCGCTGTTTTCGGTGACAGCTGCGACGCCGGTGCGGGGGGAGGGGCAGGGTGAAACGTTCCCTTGCCTCCCTGAGCCCCCGGGGTGGTGGCCTTGGACTCGTAGGGGCAAATTCCAGCTCACGCGTGTGATCATGCGTGAGAGGTCATTCTGGCTCCCCTAGCTCTCGGGAGGGGCTCTTTAAAAAGTTATGGCCGCCGTAGCTGTTCTCGGCGGCAGCTGCAACGCCCGCACGGGGGAGGAGCAGGGAGGGGTGAAACGTTCCCTTGCCTCCCTGAGCCCCGGGGTGGTGGCCTTGGACTCGTAGGGGCAAATTCCAGCTCTCGCGTGTGATCACGCGCAAGAGATCATTCTGGCTCCCCCAGCTCTTGGCAGGGGCTCTTTAAAAAGTTATGGCCACCGTTGCTGTTCTCGGCAGCAGCTGCGACGCCCGCACGGGGGAGGGGCGGGGAGGGGTGAAACGTTCCCTTCCCTCCCTGAGCCCCGGGGTGGTGGCCTTGGACTCATAGGGGCAAATTCCACCTCTCGTGTGTGATGTCTGAGCGTTGCTGCTTGGACATCACATGTGAGACGTCATTCTGGCTCCCCCAGCTCTCGGGAGGGGCTCTTTAAAAGGTTATGGCCACCGTCGCTGTTCTCGGCGGCAGCGACACCCACGTGGGGGGGGCGGGACGAAACCTTCCCTTGCCTCCCTGAGCCCCCGGGGTGGTGGCCTTGGACTCGTAGGGGCAAATTCCAGCTCTCGCGTGTGATCACGTGCGAGAGGTCATTCTGGCTCCCCTAGCTCTCGGGAGGGGCTTTCTAAAATGTTATGGCCGCTGTAGCTGTTCTCGGCGGCAGCTGCAACGCCCGCGCGGGGGAGGAGCGGGGAGGGGCAAAATGTTCCCTTGCCTCCCTGAGCCCCGGGGTGGTGGCCTTGGACTCGGGGTAAAAGTAACTTTTCCCCCACCTTAAAGAACAATGGAAAGGATGGGGGCAACCTGTTTGGGGGCCCGTAGTATTGGACCCCCTGGTTCAATGTTCCTGAAACATGGCGGGTATCTTGGGGAGAGGCTCTAGCAGCTACCCTATGATTTTGGAGCCTCTCCCTCAAACCCCCTTTCCTCCAGCTCCCAGAATATACCCTGTGTTTTCGCCATTGACTTCAATGGCCCATAGGATATAATGGGGGCGAACTGCGGGAAGCCGATTCAGATCAGAGAATCTGATTCAGCCTGCAGCAGCCTGAAAGGTACCCGAATGGGCCATTTTCGGGGGTGCATTCGGTTCAGATGAACCGAATGCACATCCCTCCAGCAGCCCGCTTGCTCGGGCTCTCTGTAGCCTCGGGGATCCTGAGCAAGCTAAGGGAAGGGAAGGTGGTTTAAACCGCCTCTCCTTCCCTCCAGCAGCTGGCTTGCTCAAGCTCCCCGAGCAAACCAAGGGAAGGGAAGGTGGCGGAGCAGCTGGAGACATTGAGCCTCAGCTCCACAAGTAATGAGCACTCACGCCCCGCCCCCAGCAGCCCTCAGGCCGGAGCACCTGGAGCAGTCTTGGGAGGCGGATTGGCAAAAAGCAAAACCAAAAGCGCAAGAA